AAGACGACGGAATGTTTGTCCGGTTCAAACATGAAATATCTTCGTCGTATACACATTTTAGTACAACAATAAAGTACGTGCTTTCTACTTAAATATTTAATTTATTTTTAATTTTCACATATTGTCTTATTTAATAATAAAAGCTTTTATACACACAGGTAAAAATAAGTGTACACTCGCGCTTCAGATATTCACTGCTATGTTGCTGCTTAATTACGAATGATCTAATTCGTTTTACTAGATTAGACTACAAATCTAGTAAAACGTCTAGTCTAGTAAACGTAGAACATAGCAGTAGCACTGTAGCTGTTTCAATGATATTTGATACATTAAAAGACATTTCTTACTTTTACTTTAACTGATGTTTTTACTATCCATCCGTAGACTATTAAAGATTCATCGTGGAGACGCAAATGGTAGCAAAACCGAACGCGGTACAAAAATAATTTCTAAAATCTGTTCATAAATGACGGAGTTGCGGAGTAACAAAAAAAAACCACAACCTCTTCCTTTTTCGAAGTCGGTTGAAAATCACCATCGACCATCGCAGTAATTCCCCGTGATTGATGACACGTTCGTTGTCTTCGAGGACCGACCGCGGCGGTTTCTTATTCGTTAATTAGATGTGAAGCAAACGGATGGACGTAGTTTAAATACATCGAGTTTTGTACTCCACTTATGTAACGTGTAAATATCAGACCGTGTATGTAATCTCGTAATGATTTTTACAGTAAGCGAATGTGGCTTGGTAAGGTCTCTTGTTACGCTAATACTGAACGTTGATACCTAAATCAGACGAACTGTATGGCGTGTTGGATAGTGTACCTGCCTCCTGCTTCAGAGGGTGTGGGTTCGATCCCCACTACTGGAAAAAATATTGTGTGATGAACATAGTGTTTTTCTAGTGTCTGGGTATATAATATGTATTTTTTTACAAAAGAAAAGTATGTTTAAGTATGTTTATCAGTTATCTAGTACCCATAGTACAAGCATTGCTTAGTTTGGGACTAGAGAACTTTGTGTGGAAAAAAAAATTGTCCTAAAATATTTATAAATAAAACGAGTCTGGTATAATTATGAGGATAATAAATATGAACAAAGTCTAGTGTTCAATGTCCACAATGTAAATTTCAACAGTAGAGTTTCTTAAGTTACATAATTTATAACATGTACTTAATTTTAACATATTAAAATTGTGGTAATATTCTTACACACCGTGATCAAAGAAAATCTTTTAAGTAACGTATAAACATACTTAAATATAGATACATTTATTTTTGTAAACAAATGAATAGGTACTGTAGGCATTCAGACATTCAAAATTATTCGGTTAAAAACGATAATTACATATTTACTGATCCTCAAGGAATTAAATATTACCTTTGTGAAATGACGATTAAGTGTTTTTTGGCCATAATTGTGTAATTAATTAAACAAACATGTTTACAATAATAAATACAAACTTACATGTTACCTCATCATCTAAGTCCTCTCGGCATGGTGCCAAGAACGCAAGCTGCATTTCCTCTATCAAAAAGTTATGCTTTATCTTTGGAAATTTTATAGTTTAATTGCTAGATGAATGAATGAATGAATTAATTGCTAAATGAATGTTTTTTACAATGAAATCGCGATTACTTCAGACTCGAAGACGTCAATTCAATACTCAGTAGTCTATATTTGTGTACAAATATTAGTACTTATACTTAACAACATTAAAAAAATTTGAGTTTTAAACAAATTATACAACGAAGCTACTTCGGCGGTATAGTACCAAGAACGCTTCAAGATATTAAAAGCCTATTACATTATAAATACTATGAAGTATGATTAAAAACTCAATCATGATCCAAATATTACTAACAGACAAATAAGTACGTAAGAGTTTTTCTTAAATTTTTTATTTTTCAGTTAAACCGATACGTTATTTTGTACGCATTTTCATTTAATCGTCATAATGGATGGATGGCACATCATCACCGAGTTACCGTCGAACGATAGATACAACAGACGAGAAATAGTGAGTTTTTGATAGAAAGACCAGCGTCTGACATTTGGGTGCACATACTGTACATGCTGGGAACGTCGCGTTCATGTACACGTATGTACGTACGTACATAGAGGTACAATTGCGTACATGTGAGAAGTAGGGCCGCTGGCGCCGACGCACCCACATCAAACTTTCAGCTGCCCCGTCCGGACATAAATCAGCGTGAGGGCGGCTGTGACAACGGCGTACAGTCGGCTACATAAGCGTTAGTATTGATTTTTATAAAATATTCTAAATGGGTGGCCGTTACATAAACAATTTAAGGGTTTATTGTAAAGCGTGTTTAGTCTCACTATTAATAATATATTTCATTATACGACTATGGCGTTTGAGTATATCTTGCTTGCCTAACATAAAGTGGGCATCGTCTGCACTAGACCTTTTCGCCTTATGTGAAACACATTAAGTGCATTAAGAGACGCTGTTAAAGCATTTTCCAAGCGTAAAATTGACATAAAAAAGAGGAAGATAGTTTAATATCATTATGAATTGAATCTGTTCTATGATATTACTAGAACTTTAAATGGATAATATGATATACTAAAAGTATATAAAATACTCATGCTAAATAATAGTTAAAGGGCATAAATTCAGTGTTATGTCTAGCAAGTTCGTTTAAGTTTGATCTAAAGCTGACATGAAACATTTTTTTTTTTTTTTTTTTTTTTTTATGTGAAAAGTTGCCAAACGAGCAGACGGTTCACCTGATGTTAAGTGAATACCGCCGCCCATAGACATCTGCTATACCCGAGGGTTTGCAGATGCGTTGACAACCTTTTTGGAAATTGGGCTCCAGCTACCTCACTCACCAGACGAAACGCGAAAGTATTGGTCATACTTCCACTTTACGCTGGTCTTCTGTGAGGTCGTGGTACTTACCCGGACGAGCCTGCCCATTCGTGCAACAGCCGTGGCTGCTGCGTGGCTCTACCACCGTAAAAATGTTGATAATTCGTTATTAAATTGTGAAATTAGTATTTAATGAACTTTTAATAACACTCAAACGAAAATGAATTGTAATAATTATACAACACGTCTTTTACACAACTCATCTTTAACTGAAAACGTAATATAACACGAGTCATTTAGTAGGGTTGTGTTGGTATTTAGCGAAAATAACACTATCGATTTACCTTAAGGAAATTTCTTTGTATATAAAATTGTATAAAAAAATTATAATAACTGTATTCGATACCAAGAAATTTTCACAAGGTTTAACATTACACATAAGGAAAAGTTTATGAAATCATGTTAACACCACCTGTTCGCGAGCTTACTTTCGGGACGTTCAGCCCGTACTAGGTTACGCTGCGTCTGTGTGCGTTATTTCTGACGTAGATGTTCGCCCCACTGGCCTATTAGGGACGCTGACCCATTTAAAGGGGTCCGAACGTTTCGTACTAAATACTTAAATAACCATTTGTCATTAAAAAGGACTGTTGTAATTGTATATTCCCGCGTTTTTCAGTTATTGTCAAATACAAAAATTCCTTTCATTTTAATTCCTTTTTTTTCTCTAACACTACACACGGTTATATGAAACTAGTTTGTGTGTATGAAACCGATTTTATTTTAATTTTTTTATTCCCGACATTTTAACCCTTTAAACCGGTCATGGCACTGTCTTTCCTACGACGTAAAATCCGTAAATTAGCTAAAAATTTGATATGCTTTAGCGATTCTCATTAACATAACTAAAGACTGCTTAAAAACTAACTAAATACGCGACTGAATTCCGCCAATTGTTAGATTTGTTTCAGTTATTAACTTCTCTATGCAAACACGTTTCAAATAATAATGCTTATAATATAAAACAATTCACCGATAAATTTCGCGTTTGTATGCAACAAAATCGACACATCGCTGCCGTATAAAAAATATAACCAAAAAACCTCAATCAGTACTAAGCTGCCGTTAAGTCCGTTCGACTTAAAAAGAAGACCGTACTTGAATCTCACATACAGCGGGCAGGAAACAGTTACTTAAAAAGCGTAACAGTACCGGATTTCGGTATTAAGTCTAATTATATGCAGAAACTTACCCAAAGTCCGTTGGAGCTTACGCCGTTGCCTAAACACGACCGCACTGTAAAGACAAACACTTGAACTTAACCCACTACCACTGGGAATGCATCTGCCGAATTGATCCAAACGACGGATTAATAATGGCTCTCCTCAATAAAGGACATGGCGAATAATAAAAAGCAAGATGGCGGGCTGGGTGCTCACAAAAGGATACCGTAGTCGACGGCTCAATGAGCTCATTTTGAGAAGCCATGTTTATTCCCTAAACATGGCCCCGTATTCATAAGGCCCTCAGCGAAAGGGGTGAATTAAAATAAGCGTTTGGAAAATCTTCATCCTTACAACGTCGGAGGAAATCCCTCGCAACGCTGGTACATTTTTAAAACGAAAAGTAAAAGCCAACGGATAAAGATAACCCTATAATAAAAGCCAACTTTAAAATAAATGCAAAATACAGGAATTACAAATACTTTTTCTTCTAATTCAAGAACAATTTTGTGTGCAAGTGACAAAAACCCTATTCTGACGTAAAAATGTACGTATTAATTTATTATGTTGCTGCTCCTTTATGAATTAAACAGTAAATATATTTAGTAAATCACTGTTTACTTTTTGTGAAGAACTGTTAATTAAAAGTTTAAGTACTGACTTGACGTGATCGACGGTGAAGGAAAACAACCGCAGGAAATCTTTTTGAAATAATAGCGAAACAAATATTTCGAAGTTCTGTGGAGCCTTCAATCCGCTTTTTGCAGTGGGACGCATATTGGCTGTTACTTTACTTTTTTCTTTTATACGACATTTAAGAACTGTGAATAGTAAATAGTAGCAATTCTACTACTGTCTTTTACGCTTTGTTATTTTCCGTTCAAAATGAAAGAAATATTAATAAGCGATTCAGAAAAAAAATAAATAAAAAGAACACAATGTATGGAAGGTGTAAACAGAGCGGCGATGTCCCGGTGACCGCCAAAAGAGCTACGCTCGTCGAAAATGAAAAAAAAGCACACGCACACACGCGCACACAATACATCTTTTTACCCCCAGGGAAGAGCGCAGCTGCCGAGCACAACAATGATACGGCCATATTACTTCTATCAACCCGGGGCAATCGGCACGTCGTAACCCGGCCGAGTGCGGTGTGCCGCTCGCCGCGTGTGCTCGTTCGCAACGCGCCGACTTCGCAATTCGGCCGCGCTGCAAACGATCGCGCGGCGTATGGGCGCCCTTTGTCAAGTCACGCTTGATTTGGGGCGAAATTTTGTCCTTTTTGTTGTTTCATTGTGCCTGATGGGTGTAAAGTTTGTGCCGTTGCGTATCAAAATGGCTTCATGTTTCGTTTCGAAGTTCCCTTTGTTATAGAATTATGTTTTCACTACGCGATCGCGAGCGAAAATTACGGCTCTAACGCTACCGTATAAATTGGTCATTTTACGCCGAGATGTTAAAATGATGCAGCTAAACAAATAGCTCAATTATGAGAAGCTCTATATGGATTTCTTTCCTGCTAGTTAGTGGCACCTAACTTACATGTGCGCGTTATGAATGTACTTATCGACTGTTGTACTTAAATATAACTGGTACTATAAACGGAAATAACAACTTAATTATAACGTTAGTTTCTACGCGAACGCATAACGATAATCCTAAACGAAACCATTATTTACATTCGAAGCTTGAGTGGAAAGCCACATCCCTGTGATGCCGTACACAAAAGAGCGATATAAAATTGTCGCACAAAACCCCGTACATAGCGACGCAGCGGTGACAGTTTTGCGTTCCATTTCCGAACGGGGCCCCGTCATTGGCCGACGCTTGGTGACAAATGCGTGACAAAGCGACACAGCCGACCAATCAGGGAGGCGTAGCGAACATATTAAATATAATACCGTGTCCCGTAGGTGGAGCGGGAAACGTTTTTCCTTGCGTCAGTGCAGTAAAAGGACTACTTTCGAGACGGTGAAAGCATCTAATTATTTTTCTCTGTGATTTGGGCTGTTATCTCGTGACATCTGTCTAATGTTTAAATAGCGGTAGTTTGTTTAGGTTTTACCACGCTATAAGATTTATTAGGATAGTTCTTTACTGGCGGATTTTTGCCAGTGACAATTTGTATCGCCGAGGGACAATGTTTAGAGGGTTTGTTCCATGTTATAACTTAAGTATAGAATATTAAGTATAAATCTTAGTCTTTGGTAGATAAGATATGAATCTTATCTAATTCATACTAAGTTTCTGAATAAGATTACAAAATATTTATTACAATACAAATATATTACCAAGGTTATTTTTATCAGTTATTTGATTCCCGACGAACCGAAAGTCAATAAATGTTTTTATTTGTTCACAATTTGCTAATTTTTGTTCGAGGTTCTCCCTTAGGCGTGCAGGTATATATCGCTACAATTTCGACTTATGACTCAGTGGCTCAGTTGCTAAGGCACAGGCTTCGGCATCGTGGGTCAAAAATTCGATTCCCAAACGGGATAAATACCTACGCTATAAAACTTTGTGGGAAACAAAGTTTCATTATGAACGGATGAACTGTTTAAGATCGCATAAATTTTATAATTTTATTTATAAGATTTTCAAAAACACGTCGAAAGTTAAACAAGTTTTACGGTGGTAGGGCCACGCAGCAGCCTCGGCTGTTGCACGAATGGGCAGGCCCGTCCGGGTAAGTACCACGACCTCACAGAAGACCGGCGTAAAGTGGAAGTATGACAAATACTTTCGCGTTTCGTCTGGTGAGTGAGGTAGCCGGAGCCCATATTTCAAAAGGTTGTCAACGCATCTGTAACCCTCGAGTGTAGCAGATGTCCATGGGCGGCGGTATTCACTTAACATCAGGTGAACCGTCTGCTCGTTTAACAACTTTTCGCATAAAAAAAAAAAAAAAAAAAAGTTAGTTCGTATTAAATTAAGGGCTCAAAAAGTCTAAATTTTTCTATGTCAAAGGCAAACTGAAATACCTTTACATTTAAATATGGAAAAGTCAACACGCATTTTTATATTTTATTTTTATTTTTGGACAGCTAACAAGACCCACATTTAGTTAAAAACAAAGACGTCAACTTCAAGAGAATTCTACTGTATGTCAGCTATAGAGATTAAATAAAACATTTCCAACACATCGAAGAAACTATTATCTAAGAAGGGTGCAAGCGAGCGGTTCACCAAATATTCTGTCTTCTGTATAGTCGAAGCTAGTGCTTGGACAAGCCTGCCCATTTTTGCAACAGCAGAAGCTGCTCCGTGCCACTACCACAGTATAATCTATTAAAAACAGACCACAAATAATTTAAACACTCCAGACACGCTAGTTCGCAAATTGTGGAGTATCAAAATCCTAATAATTCTGCTTATCATCTATTATTTTAAGGTACTAAGCATTAAAAATTCTTAAAATTACAGATGATCGTTCAGATAAAGAATCAGAAGAAGACAGAGAATACCGGTTATTTATTATAATTATGTATGTGTGTAGGACTAATTTGCTAAAAATGTGCGCATCTTTAGGTTTAGCATTTATATATCTCGAATCTAGCAAAGTAAAAAAGTCGTTAAATATCCATCTACCTAATAATATAATCACAATAATAATAAACAGGCCGTATTTGTAGTTCGGCGGCGGCGTAGCAAACGGTTCACGGTTAAACTGTAACATTAGAACTGAGGTCTAAGATTATCGTACCTTAAAAGGTAAAGTAAAAGTAAAGTGACAGCCTGCATACGTCCCACCGCTGGGCAAAGGCCTCCTTTGTACATAGGGTATTAGGGCATAGTCCCCACGCAACTCAACTGCTGATTGGCGGATTTCACATATCTTCGAAATTTTTTTTTAACCTTAAACGCTTATTCGTAATGAATACAATTTCATTGCGATTTGAAAACTTGATTTGAAACCACATTCGAAGGCACAATTTCTAATTTATCAAACCGCACTATTTTTGGGACTTTTATAGGTAATTAAAAAAAATAGAAAAAGCCGGTAAAACGTATTTTATTTCATGTCTACAAACTAACAAATACAGGCCGAAAAAAGCAGCAATGACTGAATTCGTTCTTTATAATTTATACAGATTGCCATGGCGTGTCAGAATTGGGGTGAAGCCCCACTCAAGTGAACTCGTAAACTCGTAATAGCTCGTAAAGATCCGATCTCGATAGGCAGTGTCATTTGTTATACGCGTTTTTTTTTTAGTACTTGTGTTGACACGAAAATTACCTTGATTGCCCGCCATTATTCTGCGATCGCGTTTGATAAAAACTGTTATGTAAATATCGTAAGTAGCTGTAATAGCCGGCTATTTGGCGGCAACGGTTACTTGCAACGAATGCGAAACTTTTCTCTTTATTAATCTTTGTCACGAATTACAAATTAATTGATGTTTGTTAGAACATTTTGTTTCCGAGTTCCACAAAAAAAACACTAGCGATTTTATTGGTGGCACTCAAAAACCTTTATATGTATCAAGTAAAGTATTAAGGTGAGGTATTCAGTGTTTCTGAATACCTCATCTTAATACTTTACTGACTAAACTGATATGGCAAGATTATTTAATAGTAGATGTGTGTAATTAATTAATTTCTTTTTCTTTTTGATAAATTCTTTTTGAATAAGAACCACTGCATCCTCGCATTCGAACCACCATCCGTGAGAGGTTTAGCACGGTGTCTCAGAGGCGCTAGGCCACGGGGCAGTCGCTGAGCAAACGGGCCAAATTCGTCCATCACGAGGCCATAATTAAAACGGAGTCCGACGCTAATGACTCTGCATCATGAGCTAGCGAACGGCTTGCGCAAACAACACCGCTGTCCCACGGAAACGCTTGTTTGGTCATGTTTAGCGGTCTTCGTATCACTCGACGTGTCAGAATGACTAACAGTTGTCTTTTGTGAAGCTTGGTTTAAGATGATGTCGGTCTGGCTAACATAACCTATCACGTTGGCAGTTGTATAGTGATATCCATATTGAAGTTTTTTGGGGAACAGCCGTCGGTAGTCGTGGTAAAAACTCGTGTCTGTTAAATTGCAGATAAAAAATGTTGCAAGAGAATAAGGTGATCGTTTTTTGTAAACAGTTTTGACCATCAAACACTTTTATCGCTATCCTTTGTTAATTATCAAACCATACCAACAACAATATCTTATCATGTTGTTGATTATAAAAACATACACACGATATTGATGTTTAATCACCCGATGATTTTTCATTTAAAAAAATGCCCTTTACTTTAGGGCAACATTATCCTGTGTTGTAAGGACATTTTACAAACATAAATTTCACAAGGATAAACAAGATGCGAAACAGCTGTCTGTGGGTCACACAAATAGTTGTCCCGTGTGGGAATCGAACCGACGTCCCCCGACACCGAAGCCAACACCTTAGCCACTGCGCCACGGAGTCAACATGATTGGATATAATCACTGTATCGCGGAGGCTTACGAAGATAACACAAAGTATATACTACGAAGGACTTTGTTGATCACACGTATTATTAACCGGTGGGAGGACCGAACCCACGACACAGCGCGCCTCTAGTGTATATGCTAAAACCATCGATGTGGACGATATGATTTCTTTGCGGACTACATCAATTACTATATGTATAGCAACTCAAAGGAGGTTACAACAACAACCTTATTATCAACTCTTACGCTTTCTCCCAAACATGGAAACCGTTTCCGTTTTTCTGATGTGTAACCTAACCTAACTCACAAATAACTGTCTTATACATTTTCCCATTGACTAAGACACCGTTCATTATTCACACGATTCTATAAATCCCATTACGATCCAAAAACGCAATAGCTTGTTACGTAGGAATTTCTTGGGTTATTAACGAAGAGTACGAATACCTCTAGACAGAGGAGGCCATTGCCCAGAAGTAGGACACATGTAGGCTGTTACTTTATTTTTTACTTTTACTTTAATATTAAAGGGCGTGCATTTACGCTTAAGAAAAATAATTGTATGTACTAAAACAAGTTAACCCGTGCCGTGTAACAATACACAGCGGCCGACACGAAACCGAACGGGAAACGGCGTTTAACCGAACACTGAGCGAAATTAACAGTTCTGGGGCTGGCTGACTCGTTCACATCTGCCAGCTATGTATAATTAGCGCAAATAAATAAACAACACACTGTTTATTGTGTCACAAGCTTATTCCGCGGCGGCCGTTGTTAATTGAGCCCCTCGTCCCTCCCTGCCCTATGAATAACCAGCGCAGGGGGACGG